TGTTGGTCCATCAATAGTAAACATACCATGTTGGTTGACCATCATAAAGGGAATACAACATATTCCATCATAATATGATGGTTACTGTTGGTCCATGAAAAATCCAACATTACTTGATGGTTTACCATCATAGCAATACAGCAACATTTTCCATCTTGCTATGTTGGAATTTGTTGGTCCATCAAAAACCAACAAACCATGATGGAAATTGTTGTATGATGGTGCCCATCAAAACATGTTGGACCATCAAGAATCTTGTTGAAACCAACATAAACCATCAAAATCCTTTGATGGTACCATCATAAATTTTGTCTTGGGTATTTATTAATTCCAACTCAACTTTTACTTCCAGTATAATTTAGTTTAAGTTTCTTTCTACCAGTTATTGTCTAACGGTCTTTTTTACGTTCAAACGTTCTTTTTTTTACGTAAGTTTTAAAGCAGGAAAGTGCAAAAGAGATTTATTATAAGTTGTTAGGGTTAAAAGGAATCTAATCAATAAATCAAATAACATCAAAATGCTAATTTTTAATATTGATAAATATGTAATGTGTTAAAATAAATAATCCCAAGATGCTGAAGCGTTAAGATATTACTTGTTTAAAAACTTCATTCTCTTCAAAAACTTACAACTCGGAAATAATAGTCGACTTGTTTCAAGAGATCTCAAGAACAGGCATCCATTTTCAAGACTGCTGGGCATGATTTTTTTTCCACACCTGGCAAGTCTTGAAAATGGGGGACTGTTTTTGAAGCGCTTGAAACATGTTGACTGTAATCTCAAATTTGTATGTTTTTGAAACGAATAAAGTTTTTAAACAAGTGATGAAATGTGTTTGTTTCAATATTGAGTGCAATACATATTTTTATTTAAGTTTTAGAAATTAATTTACTCGCTTTGTGCGTTTTTGAATACAGATAAGAAAGCTATTTTAAAGCAAATATTGATAACTTTCATAATTCCTGTAAGTTGTATGTGTATGAATAATGCATATTGCAAGTAAAATTGTTGGTAAAAAGTTACATACTGCACAAAATGAGAAAAATGAAATTTTTTTCTAACAAAAGTATAAAAAACTTATTGGATCGTAAAACATAGATCGTTCAAAAAGAATTTTTTTATTTTTATTTTACTTAAAAACTTTAAAATGTTTTTGAAGAAAAAAACAAATTATTAAGCAAATTACGGATTATAATCTCAATCTCTCCCCAACCCACCAAAAAAAAAAAAAAAAAAAAAAAAAAAAAAAAAAAAAAAAAAAAAAAAAAAAAAAAATAAGAATGAAAATAAATTAAAAATAAATAAATAAATAAAATAAAAAAATTATTTAAATTCTTGTTAACTGCTTGTGAAATGTTGTTTTTAAAATTTTTATTAACGTTATTGTTATCATGTTTCCTATTGTTATTATGTTTATTGTTGTCATGTTTCTGTAAGTGTGCGTATTACCTTTAATTTCATTTCTTTGATTTAGATGTAGAAACACAGCATGCTCTATTAAATTTTCCCACCGATAAGAAGCAACAATTGATGACTTATTTGCCTTTGAATTTGAGATCAGATCTTGTTTTTTCATTCATCGATGAAGAATCATTTTGGAAAAGAAAGTGCGAAGAGAAAGGATGGAGTTACGTTGATTTTTGGTTATCTTGCTGTAATTGGAAGAGCACGTTTGCTTCGCACTTAGTACAAGATGCACTGGATGATTTTATTTTGAAAAAAATCCAATACGAAGACTTGGAAGTCCTTATTTTTCCATTCAGAAATTATCTACTCAAATTAACTATCAATGGTTTTAAATTTAATGTGATAAACGAAAAAAACCATGACGAAAACTTAATAAATGATAGTCTATTATTAGTAGGTAACGTGTCTAAGATATTACCAATGTTTACAAACTTGGAAGAAATTTTATTGTTCAACTTTCCTGTTATAATTAGTGATTGCTCAATTAATAAAAGAAACTCAAGCATTTTCGAAGGGTTTTGCAAGGGCTTTTTAAGTTTCGCCAAACTTCGCCAAGTGACGATAGTTGGAATGTGTTTAAATGCAAAATATATATCTTGTTTAATTGACAATTTGGTATTAATAGATACTATTGAAGAATTAGATTTATCTTGCTGCATGATTTCTGCAGAATCATGGAACACAATCGGAAAATTATCAGAAATGTCAAATCTTCGAAAACTTAAATTGAGAAAAAATTACCTTGCAAATGACAGTATTACAGATTTGTGTAAAATTTTAACAAAGTCTAAAACCTTGAGTAGTTTTGATGTAAGTGGCAATCTCATTGGCGATGCAGGAATTTCAAGTATCTGTGAAAGTTTGTTGTCAAACCATATGTTAAGTGAGTTAGACATATCGTACAACAGTTTAACATCAAATAGTGGTTGTTTCCTTAGAAATGTAATTGATCGCAACAGAGTCCTGAAGTCCTTGAATATAAGTGGAAATAATTTGGGAGAGGTATAATAGCGTTTCTTGTTTTTTATTAATTGTATTAATCTGCTGTTCTAAGCAAGAAGGTCATTGCTAATTTCGCCATTTTCGGCTTCACTCTTCATTGTGTTGTTTGATACTACTCAGGTCATGTTATACAACAACACAATTTAACGACTACAACACACTTATGTATTTCGGGAATCTATAGCTATTTTCATAGTGTCTTAGCTTTATCTAAGGAAATATGCCTCACCTTGAAATTAACATTTGTGGAAATGCAGGGTGTTTATAAAGTCCCGGTGATACCCTAATATACCTTCGTATTCGATGATATCTTCGTATTTCCACCACTAGAAGAGCTTCAGCCCCATGTCTTTTTGCAACAAGATGGTGCACCACCTCATTGGGGTATCATCGTTCGTAGTTCTTTGAATGACCATTTTCCAGGAAGATGGATTGGGCGAGGAGGTCCAATTCCTTGGCCACCCAGATCACCTGATATAACGCCGCTGGACTTTTTTCTTTGGGGATTTATAAAGGACAATGTTTACAGGAGGATCGTGTCGAACATTGATGACCTAAAAGCCAGAATTACAACCGCAATAGCCTCTGTGAATGCCGACATGCTTGCCGCTACCTGGCGTGAAATTGACTATCGACTTGATATTCTCCGTGTGACGAAGGGGGCACACGTGGAAGTTCATTGACAAGGGTCATAAAACTTTTTGAGTCTATCTAATAATTTATGTTATTAATTTTAATCTATCTTTATTATTTTATGAGTTATTAAACGGGTCCGGAACTTTATAAACATCCTGTATTAGTTGCCTTCTTTTTTAGGACAGCAGTTATTATTAATATTTCGCTCTTAACTATCTTGGGAAATTTATAGTTTGTGAGCGGTACCTATTTGTCAAATTATTAGTTAGATGAAACATTTCTTCCGGATTTAAAGCATACTAAAATAAATGCAACAAAGCAGAAAAACGGGTATATTATTAAGAATTAAGTTTGTAATATCGATTCAAAAAGTGGGCTGAGGTGGGCAGGAGGAAAATTATATTTGATTTGATTTAGGTGGAAAAAATATTTACAATTCCAATTAGGCGGAATTGTTAATATACTGTCCACCTAGCAGAATTGCTAATATTTTGTTGGGCGGGTGCATCGCTTTTGAAGAAAATCATATTTGATTTCAGTTAGGTAGGTCTCCCGCAGAAGACTGATAGTTAAGATACGGTTTCCAGTAGATCATCGAAGTCAAGCATCACTGGCTGCGGTCATTGTGCGGGTGGGTGACTGCTCGGGTCAGTCTACGAAGGGTCCGAGAGTGTGCGGTATTGGTCCTCGTTAAACTGTTCTACCGTAAAATGCTCGACTTCTCGCGCAAGTCGTCGGGCTACCGAAGCGGGAGTGGCATTCCCTTTGCAGAGAATCAAAATTGTGACGGCATGTCTTTGGATCATCCTTAGTGATGTTTCCCAGACCGTCTCCAGTAGCCGACTGTGCAGCTCTAGTGCGACGTAAATGAACTACAACAACAACAGCAACAGTTAGGTAGACAAATTATAAAACTATTCCAATTCCTACATAAAAATGTTAGGCGGACGCATCGCTATTGAAGAAAATCATATTTGATTTGTCTAAGGTGGACAAATTATAGACTATTTCAAATCCTACCAAAAATTGTTTAGAGGGATGCATTGCTATTCAGGAATTCAATTTTGATATTCGACTTACTTGGATTTTGGAGATCTTGAATCGATATTTATGTGAGGAAAAACCAAAATTTGACAAATCTCTATTCATGAAAGCAGGATTAAAAGCATAAAAAAGCAGTTATATAATCCTATAAATCGTAAAGATAGTTCAAAATCATCACTTTTCACTTTTTCTCTCTAGTTTTCAGATATTTTTTGTTTTATTTTGTTCACAGAAATGTATTCTATTAAGTCTAGTAGCATAATTTTAAATTTCTGGTTAGACGAATTCTTTTAACTTTTTGAAAAACCGAGTTTTCAAAATATTTACAATCACGAAATTCAAAATTCAGCAGCTAGGTTTAACAGAATATATTTCAGTTAATAAAATGAAACTTAAAATGACTGATTAATAGATTTCGCAATTTCATCACGTGTGAAATGACTCCATCACGTGATGAAGTATAGTCAGAGGAAAAAATTCACATATTGCTATCTAGACAAATGAGGTATATTTCCATTACATTTTTTCTTTACATTTAATCGAATAAAAACAATCTCAAGTTAATAGAATCAATAGTTAAGAAGTATGTCTCGCCTATAAAATCTACAGCTTTGCTTGATTATATGCGTTATAATTTTATTTCTCGGTATTTGAGATATTGTTTTTTTTCTCACGTGATATTTTTACACTGATAAAAATGAGATCAAAACAAAGCCAATGGAATTTATAATTCAAAATGTATATGAAGAAAATCATAGTTTTGCACATTTACCTATTTTAACATCTGTCATTGCTATCTAGACAAGTAGGTCACTGTTTCTAAATCCAGTCAATGAAACTAATAGCTTCGGAAATATAAATGTTTTATCGTCTTAGAGTATAAGTCAAAAATTATATGTTTTCTGAATGAAAATCTATTTACTTCTAACTTATTAGTTCTATTAATTTAATTTTAGCTGTATTAGCTTTAGTGTAAAAGTACATAAGAAGCAATGCCTCATTTGTCTAGATAGCAATATAAGATGCGTAAATAGCTATAAGTTAAAAATTATACGTTGTACTCAGGAAACCGTTAAAACTATTTTATAATATCTAACTACCAATTCTAACGACTTACTTTTGATCTTTTTCGATTCAGTGCAAAAGAAATACGCAGGAAACAATACCTCACTTGCCTAGATAGCAAAGTCAGATGCTTAAATATACGGTGAAAAAAAATCTGGTATTAAAAACCGAAATATACGGTATTTAGACCATTTATTCGGTTACGTTAATATGGTACGGGTTTACCGGAAATACTGTTTTTTAAAATTATAGCTCTTATTTTACACATTTAGTAAAAAATACAAAACAGAAAAGTAAATTTAACCGATTAAGTAGTTTTTATATCATACTCTAAGGTTACATATGATAAAATTACCTGATTTCACCACATTTACTAAATTTTATTGCATAATATAAAATCATATTTTATTGTTAAGTTTACCAAAATCATTATCAAAGCGTTTCTGTAAAACGAGGTAAATTACCGAGATTTTTTGGTGTTCCTATAGAGTCAGAAACACGGTAAATTTTTCCATATTCTGGTAGTTTTGACCATACTTTTTTTCCCAGTGCAGCTATAAGTACAGAGCTGTACTTTTTATACACAAAAACTTTTAAACACTTATGTAGGAAATAATACCTTATTTGTTCTCATTTTCAAGCATAAAAGTGTATTTTTATTATTTTTTTTACGAACATGAAACATAAATAACCTTAAAACTATTAGTTCTATCAGCGTAAAATTGGTTTTCTTCGATTTAGTGAAAAAAAAAAAAATACATCTGAAACAACGTCTCAATGTCTAGATGGCCATCTAGATGGCTTGTCTAGATAAGTTTCTCTCCCTTTTATCCCTTCTCCTCAACCTTCCTCCCCCCTTGCGGATCCCAGATGTCCACCGTTGCTTTTCATGTCCACCATTGCTTTTCTTATACTACAAACTATAAGAAAATTAGTTAGACTGTACTCACAACACTTAATTAAAAAGCTACATTCAGCAGACAGTCCAGAAAATAATGGTTGTTAAGAAACATACCAGAAATTGAAACTACATGACGCTTGGAATTGAATAATGCTTGAATACCATTTTTCCGGATAAAATAGATCTTCCTATTTTAAATTTACTTGACAGAAAATAAATTGCTTCAGGGTGAAATATATTTGTTAACACAGTAATCAGATTTAATTAAATTCTTTTTAGTGTAATTCAATTGAATTTATTATTTTTTTCATTTAATACTAAAAAATATTGATTTTATAAGCAGTATTTTAAATTTTTTTCTTGGTGTACTATTCATATCATCAGCTCTTTTAATAGAGTTAGGTTCTTCCTTATAACAAATTTCAGCTTTTAGGCTATGCCTTTGAAAAAAAAGAGATAAAATTATTTCTCAAAATAATCAGCTTTTAGGAAACTTTAATACAAGTATAAGGTATACAAGTATGACCTTACATAAGTCTGACAACTACTAAACTAATTTAAAACTAAACTTAGTGGCACGACAGCCCATGGAGGGCCAAGGCCTACTGTGCCCATCTCAGTTTTCTTGACTTTGGGATTTGGGGTGCAGGAGCAGATGTTAGGTGGTAAGCCGAGCGCGAAACCCTCAGTGTTTAGTTCCCAAGCATGCTTGGTAATCATTTATCGACCCACTGAAGGGATGAGAGGCTGAGTCAATCTTGCCCGGCCCGAGGCTCGAACTCAGGACCTGTGGCACGGGAGCGTGAAGCGCTACCACTCAGTCACCGGGCGTAAGTATGACAACTATAATTCATTATTTTTTCATGGTAAAAATCTAAATTAATAAAATTTTATTGGAAAATTTAAGTAATAAATTTAAAGTAAAATCAAACATTCTAGTAGTGTTAATTATAAGTAGGTCAGTTACTTATCATTTTTTAGGGAAAGGTGAATTGAATGCAGCGAATATATTAGAGTTTAATATATTAGCTCAATAATACATGGAATAATTTTCAAAAAAAAATTATTTTTATGATTTTTTTCTTAACATTATTTATTCGAAAATTTGCTGATCATTTGCATCTGTTTTTACATTATAACATTAAATCTTCGCTGTCTTCTTATAAAGTATATAAATTGACCACCCTGAAAATAAGATTTCTTTACAAAATAAAAATGTAAATGTTTAAAAATCTAATATTATTCTCTTTCGGAACTAGTGCTAGAGTTTTTCTAATTTCACGATGGTAGTTTAAGTAACCTCTCTTAAAACCGGTTTTTAGCTACAAAAACGGTTTTACCTATACTTATATTTTTTAATGGAACTTGTTTGTACGGAATTTTTCAAGGCTTTCTTTTTACAAGAAAAGAAAGTTTCTTTCTCCCATTTCGCATTTCTTTTCCACCCGTAAAGCAATATGCAGCAGGAAAATTTCAGTACAACTTCTTCACGGAACACTTGAAGAGTTAAAGCTTATGAAATAAGTTATAAAATTAAAATAGCGAATTGTAAATAAAGAAAAAAAACAATGAAAAATATGAAGAGTATAATAATGACAACCGAAGTTGACGTCGTCAGGGGGTACCAGCCCCGGAAGTCATAAAAATAATACAAAACCTTTTCTATGGAGAGAGCAAGCAAAGGTCTAAAATTTGCTCTTTCTGTACCCCAAAGGCTTTGCAAGAAGTCCAGGAAAAGAAAAAAAGATAATACAAAGTACTAAGAAAAAGAAAAAAAAATACAAAAGTAGAATAAATATAAAATAATTTATCTTTTACTATAAGTTGTACTTTCTGCCGAAGTCTTATATGATTCAATGTAGAACATTATGATTTGCAGTGAATAGAAAGTTAAAGTGGAAAATAATACCAATCATCACATGTAAACAAAAATTGATTAAACTAAAGCTATATCGCAAAAGATATGTATAACACTATTTTGACAGCTAATGAAAAGGTTCGCTGAAGGATAAACTTCGGTTTTAAGGGACAGCCAAAAAGATAATGTCCTCCTAGCGTGATTAATTGATGAAATGAACAATGCGAAGTAATTAAATGGCGACCATTTATCACCGATCATTTCAAATATCCTAACATTAGGAAATTTCGTTACATTATATTTTCAATAATTCGAAATTGAGCTTTATGAGGATAAAGGTTGACCAGATTATTTTTGAAATATTTAGTCATTGTATGGTTGCAGGAAGCTAAATGTTAAAATGCTAATGTAATGCTCTTAAATGTTAATCTTGAGCTGCACATGAGATTTTGCATTTTTTTCGGTAACGATTCTAAAAAAAAAAAAAAAAAAAAAAAAAAAAAAAAAAAAAGAACTTTTTTATGGTTTTGCATAAAAAAGTAAGAAATAAAATATTAAGTGTAACCTATTATAATCGAGGTCTCAGTTACTAGTTCAGTTAGTCTCAGTTAATTTTCCAGATATTATGTTCCTTTTATGTAAAATGTGTTGTAAGAATTTCTTATAAAATATAAGCAAATAAGAAAATCAGCGGATATGTTATAATTTCTATTCGAAAAACTTGACTTATAAGAAACGATTTGTTTTAATCTCAATTAGTTGTCCAGATATTCATTTGTGGCTCAGGGGATAGAGCGTTCGACTTTCATTGAGGTGAACCAGGTTCGAATCCCAGGGATGGCTGGTCGATAAAAATTCCGCATCCGGCTTGCACTGACCACAGCGCTTACGTAAAATATCCTCAGTAGTAGACGGATCATGGGTTGGAGTTCTCTCGCAGTCAGGCTGGCCATGGAAAGCTTTCGTGATATTCCTTTCCATGTAACGCAAATGCTGGTCTAATTAGTCCTCCACGAAGGCAAATTTCCCCCAATACTTGATCCCGGAGTTCTCCTGTTTTTTATCTCTTGTCTTGGAGCAATTTTCTCCCCGTCGGTGGACAGTGCAAAACATAATACCACAGTAAAGTAGTATCTTTATTAATTTCTTTTGAATCTATTATTAGTCAGAAAAAACAGCGAATTTATTTTTCAACTACCATGCAGGAGATATGCAGTAGCCCAAATCATAACTAAGCTTAAAAACAACATTTCTTTGATAGTTTTACTCTAGAAAGCTTTTTATTGTAACTCAGACGCAAGCTCTGATTGCAGTATATAGACGAATAAAATTGTGATATTTATTTTACTTTTTACGGTTAGAAATTTCTCGGAAAAAAATGGCTAATTAACAAACTATTTACTTGTTATTTTGCATATTCAAACAAAACAGTTAAAAAGCCATAAACAAGATGGTATTCAAACAATTAACTCTAAAAAAAACCGTTTGTTAATTGCTTTCACCAAATACGATTAAATAACCAGAAATTTATACCACCAACTAAACCTATCCAATGAAGCCACTAAGTTCCTTGCAGCTGAATATATGTTACAACCGAGTAGGCTAATCTGTAAATCTAATGACTGTCAGAACGGGGGTTCGAGTCCGTGCTTTGAAACTACAATATTTCCTCTATTTCCTTTAAAACATGAAGAGTTTCCTGCATCCTGCAATAATTTGTGACCATGGATTATTAGAATACGATATTCTCATTCACACGTAGATCACCATAAAGAAGCTTAACACAAAAAAGTCTAGTGTTTCTCATCTCTCACGATAGGGGAAACAACCGGATATACTAATTAAACCACATTTCTAGATTCATTTGAAGAAACACAACTCAACCACAATCAAACTTAAATGTCCATTACTTAATTAAAAGCCTAGCTCTAATGACCAGTAATTTTTTTTTTTACTGTTTTAAAATCCAGGTTAGTTGTAAGTGGTTAAGAAACTGTGTAGTTTTGTATTTATGGTTTATTAACCATACCAGTTGTAAAAGGCTTCAAATCAATGGTTCAATGACCTTCATGGTAAATTTTAAAGTTAATTAGATGGACAGATCACAGCAAGTTATTTTATCGTAATTTTAAAACGAAAATTCTAACAGTATGAAATTGACAATTTTTATGTATATATATATANAATAATATAATTAAGAAGACTATTAATGTGAAAAACCAAAAGTCCTTCTCAAGACGCATCTTTTGGTATAAGTTAACGTGATATTTCTGAATAAAGAACAACCTAAGATAAAAATTATTCTTTATATGTATCGATATCGGTGAAAAATTCAGTTGAAAAAGAGCATGAAATAAAAGAAAGCAGAAATCAAACTTAGCAGCGTGGAGCAAAATGTGGTTTCGGTTTAAAAGTAAAATACTAAATTAACAGTTAACAAATTTCATGAAAAAGCAAAATCTTTAGCTTGAATAAATATATATATNATTTCAATATTTCATTCAAACTGATATATATATATATATATTTCAAGCATAATCCATCATTCGATTCACGTAAAGCACACATTCTCTAAATGTATTCTGCATTGTTTTAACCATCAACCATCTTCTTTACTATAGGAAACTGGAAAAGAGATATCCAAGAAGATCCAGAGGAACGGGACACTTTTATTTCTTGGAATCCAATTTTGTGGATTTAGGAAAGAAGATGAAGATTTTATACATTTATGCGTGTCATGCAACGCAAAGTCCTGAAGTTTTTTCTCTTCAAGGTGCTTTCTTATTCATCAGGCATACATCTTAAGAAAACATACCTCATCTTCTATTGTTAGGCACTTCTGGAAATGTAGAAATGTTAGAACATTTATCTGAAATGAATATACCATGCACGTCTTTTCTTACAATTTATCATTTGTTTCCGAAGTAGCTTTCTACTGTAGGAGTAACTTCGTTTCATAAAAATGTTATTCAATATTTTATTGTTTTGGTATAATATTTTTTAATTTAAGATTTGTACTAGTTAAGTTATGGTGTAAAGAAATTGCTCAGTTCATCATTGGCAGTCACTTCGTGGACCAGGACATTTCTTTGACAGGGTCATTCCTTGACGGCAAGGTCCATTTCCTTGTCTTTTTCAATTTTTATTCACTCGCTATATCAAGAATGACTTTCAGTGGTTATTGTCCGATTCACCCATTCACTAATAACTTCATTCAATGTTTGCAGGTTTTCTAACTTATTAATTCATTTCCTTTCTTTTTCTAGACCTTTTCTCCATTTATACGATTGTTTTATCAAAAATTATTCATAACTAGCTGAATTTCAGTTCTTAGTACAACGTAATAAAAAGAAAATAATCAATGAATCAGTGCTGAACAACACTAAGAAATCACGCCCAGAAATGAAATATATACCAACACAATAAAGCTAAAATAATATTTTTTGTTTTGTTTAATATCGTATTTTGTCCTTCCTGGTGGCTTTACGCTATTAGATTAAGCATAACACGTTTTTCGCAGTTCATCCCAGCAAAATAAGAATTAGCTGTATTCATTTGGCATGAGTTGTTACGTGAGGTCAACTCATGATTTTAACACAATCAAGCAGTTTTCTGCTATATGTATCTCTTTCGAAGATCGTAAAAAAGGTCTTTCCGTAATATTTATATTAAAACTGCATAGTCATGCTGGTTTGATAGGTACCAAATAAACTAATGTAGTAATACACTGTCTCTATGTTAGTATATTTGGAACCTATTAAAACTGCACCAATTGCCATACTACCTGTAATGCCTATTACCAAAACTAATTAGGCATATTGCATGCAAATTTTTCTTCTTCTTTTCACTAGGTAGCTTTAAGCTAGCAAGCGTAACTGATGTCATCATTAAAATATTCGAACAAACAGAATCGTCTGCAGTTTAATTTATATCAACTGAGAGCTTTAAGATAATGAAAGACTTTCCAATTTACAAACGTCTCTCAAGAACGATTTAACTGAAATTCAGGACGTTAGCACAAAATGTTCTGGAGTTATAAGAGAGATAAACAGACACACAGATAATCTTTTTTATATTATTATTATAGATAGCTATTGCCTAACTGATATAACCTGGCACGAAGCAATTCTGTCAACGCAATGACCTGTCGGTGAAACAACCCTGTTGACGAAACAATCATGTCAATGAAAAAACTGTCTGTTGAAGAAACAGCCCTGTCGATTAAATGATCCGCCCACTAAACAATCTTGTCGATGTAACAACCCTGTTGAAGAAACGACCAAGTCGATGAAATGATCTGGCGCCGATGTGGTGCCGATGATTCGCCCTGTCGAGGAAATAATTGATGACGGAATTTCGTACTGTAATAAATAATGCAGATTATTAATGCAGACTTATAATTACAAAAATACATTTTAAGAAAAGTCATTGTGGAGAGCCGATTTATACTCCTATAGCCAAAATTTAAAGAACAAACACTTTTTCACGGAGTACTCAAGAAATGAATTAAATCAAATGAAATTTAAATAAATTTATTAAAATGTGGCAAAAACAATGATAACAAAAAAGAAATGGCATGCTCTCAAGATCATAAATTAATGGGAACCACAGTAAGTTAGTCCAATATACTACTGGCCATTAAAACTGCTACACCAAAAAGGAATGCAAATAACAGAATGAAATTTATTAGGAACATACATTATAGTAGGAAGAACAAGTGATTAAATTTTCAGGATATTTGGATGTATAGATCCTGAGGTATCAGTACTCAAAGCAGCCTCCCCTATCAGCAAAAACAGCAGTTATTCCCCTGGGCATCGAGTAGAGATTGGATAGCATGGACGGGTACAGCATTCCACTCAGCTTCAACATTATGCTACAATTCATCGACCGTAGTGACTGACAAGTGGTGGCGTGCCTGCCGTTCGGCAACCATTGACCAGACGTTTTCAGTTGGTGAGAGATCAAGAGAACGTGCTGGCCAGGGCAACAAGCGAACATGATCTGTGTCAAGGAAGGTCAGGACAGTGCGGGCAACATGCGGTCGTGCATTGTTCTGCTGAAACGTAGCGTTATGGAGGCCTCGAAGATAAAGCAGAACAACTGGCCCTAACACATCAGAAATGTAACGGCTGCTGTTCGAAATGTCGGCAATGCGAACAAAAGGGGATCAAGACGTGTATCCAATAGCACCCCATACCATTACTCCAGGTGATGGGCCAGTATGTCGATGTCGAAAGCAAGCTGCCAATGGGCGTTCTCCACGATGTCGCCTAACACGGATGCGGCCATCATGATGCTGTATACAGAACCTGTATTTGTCTGAAAGGATGACGAAATGCCATTCCTGCTTCCATGTTCGTCGCTGATCCCACCATTGGAGGTGCTCTTGCCTGAGATGTAGTGTCAAGGGTAGCCGAAGCCAGGGTCACCGTGCTGACAGTCCCTGCTGCTGCAAACGTCGTCAAACTGTTCGTGTAGACACTTGTTGTCTTGCAAATGACCCCATTTGTTGACTCAGGGTTCGTAACGTAGCTGTATGATCCCTTAAGGCCATGTGGATAACATGTCTGTCCTCTGGGCTGTTAGTGATGGGGGCCGCTGAGATCCTACACGGCGTTCCATATAATCACCATGAGCCCCCGTAACAAATGCCCCGTAAACAGCAATCCCCGTAGGCCACAATTTGACCTCGATAAAACTCAGACACGTGTTGGTAGGCATTTCTCCTTCTTACACGAGTCATAAAAGAACTTTTTCATCCGAGAACAGAGCTCAAATTCAATTTCTGTATGAGAAACTTACTGTCAAATCTCTTCTTTTATACACATTGTAGGTGTCGCTACCGCCGCTTGCTTTGCATGAATACGTTGATAAGCTAATCATTTGCATGCTGCGACATGCTTTATTCGTCCTGCAAATTTCGCGTTCGTGGTGTGTCGCCTTCCTGGTGAAGCAATTTTAATGCGCGACAGCCCTTGAGGGCCAAGGCCTACTGTGCCCATCTCAGTTTTCTTGACCTTGGGCTCTGGGGTGCAAGAGCAGATGTTCCGCTTTTAATAATGA